CGTTTCTGTATATCATTAAATGCCTAAATCAACCCTTCTCTTACTTTTTAATATCACTTTCTTGTTGTATTTAGTCTTATGATTAAATTATCCCCTATGCCGTCCTCTTTACTGTTGCTTAGTGATGTTTGCGCTCTTTAGCTACGGCAGTTAACTGTTTACTTTCGGCTGCCGTTGCCGTTCTATCAACAGCTGTTGCTTAAAGTCCCTAATATCTCTACTGTGCGACAGAGAGTCGCGTGGGTATGACGCAATCGTTAGCCTATTTTACAAAAAACTGCTTCTACGGGGCCATAACGTAAGTTACAAGGTAATGGAGAATTTTATACATTGTCGTGTTTCTTTAGAAATAAAAATAAAGGACAAATGGGGTCTTCAAACGCCTCAGATGTAAAGTTATCTGCTGTCAAAGTGACGCCAAAATGAATGGGAGTCAATGCAAATGCTAACGCAAGTGAAGTTCTGCTACAAGATGGCAGCTCCCACGAGGCTTCAACTTCCGGTCGATGGATTACTTCCTTGGGAAAAGTCCGTTTTGCGCGGGTACAAAATATGATACATGCTTCGGTGTACAAAGTAATTTGCGCCGGGTGCAAGATAGGGCCCAGAGTGTGAACCACAACACAAAGTGGTGAGATCCTGAACTGTTGGCCTGTGCAAAAGGAAAGTTTACAGAGGTATTCAACACAACAACCAAAATTCAAAGCATTTGCGACATAAAGCTGAAAAGTAATCTTTTGATATAAATCTTTTAGTAGAAATTCATAGTGATATTTTTATCACTTTATAAGTGATATGGTATGTTTGCCATAGGCAGGGGTGTAAAGTAACGAATTACAAATACTCACGTTACTGTAATTAAGTAGTTTTTTTCAGAAATTGTACTTTTTTGAGTAAGTTTAAAATTGTGTAATTTTACTTTTACTTGAGTACATTTTAAGTGATGTATCGGTACTTTTTCTCCGCTATTTTCTTTCTGTTTGTGGCCGTTACTCGTTACATGCTTGTTTTAATTTTATTTTTATCCATCAACGTGATTGGATCGAGTAATCGGTCTCGTGACTGTCATCAATTCAAATTAAGCATAGAAAACTTACCGCCTATTCTTGCTCGTGACTGCTGTGGAAGTGCATTCATCACGCATCAATTCAATCCAGATATCAGCGTCTTCCTCTAATATGGTAAGGTACATTTCACATTTGTGCTTAATATGATATTTATATAGGCTGGCCTGTCTCCATGGCCTAACATTTGGTCTGAGGTTGGGGGAATTGCGAGACGAGTTCATAATGCGATGAATTCCCGCTCTCATATACTTCACAATCACAGGAGAGACGCGCGTCACGATCTGCGCACTGCCGCGTCTCGCGCTCGCCATGCCGCCAGATTCAGAATCAGTGCACCATGTCGTTGACTTGAACTGCATTACTTAAGACATTAGCACAGCTCGTTAATAAACAGCGTTTTTTGAATCCATTATATGATCCGTCTTCATTTGGCAAGTGCACTTGCGCAAAAACATTTTTCATGCTGAACTTTTTTTTTTTTTTTTTGCGGATGCTGCTGATAAAACAGCTTTGCCGAGACTTCAGAGACAAAGTGTGTTTGTTTCTTTTGTAAAAGTTTCCTGGATATAACTTCCCTATTTAATGCACAATTTTCCTTCCTTATATTATCAGCATTACAATGTGAGTAAATGTAGCCGTGTAAAATGTAAGGGATGATGCCACCCTTCTAGAACAATGCATTTACGTTTAAATTGTAACATATTTAGCAACATGGAATAAAAGTGTGTAATTAGTGTTAGCTCACTATCTTAGACTTTTTCAGTGTATTAGTTGAGGTAATCTGATAATATTAGTGATTCTCATTTATCAAAACACTAACTTTGGTACCGTTTTGGAGAGAAATTGGGTATTTTTTTATTTTATTTAACCCATCTCTTGGTGTGTGATGCTGAACTATCATATGAGTTTCTAAAGGTTTTTGAATTATTTGAGCAGTTATGAATATTGATATTTTATGTGCAACAATAACATGCTCAGGCCCAGTGGCTTCTCGCCTAATTTTAAATGCTTTCCCCCCCAAATAATATAATTTAAATGGTGATGAGTGTACTGATTTGATGCATTTTAAAAAGATGGATGATAGATATTCTTCAATCTTTCTTACAAAGAACAAAATATAATGTGATTTCCAGTATGTGCATTTTTTTAAATTAATAAATTGTAGTGCACAGTGTATATTATAAGCGTTAGAATCCGCACCTCAGTACTCACTACTCACTACTCTTGAGTACTTTTAAATAAGCTACTTTTTTACTCTTACTCAAGTAGTTTTTTGGACAAGTACTTTTTACTCTACTCACACTACATTTTTTGGAATGTAATGGTACTTTTACTTGAGTATGTTTTTTCAGTACTCTTTCCACCACTGGCCATAGGGAAAAAAAAAAAAAAACATTACATACATAAATAAATAAAAAGGTTATTGCAAATTTAGTTTCAGTTATTTGGACTTTAAATTTCACACAACTTCTTGCAACTTTTACTTTGTTTTTCGTAGTTGGAAATTTGTTTCTTTGAATTGCATGTGTACAATAAAATTACAACGTAACTACTGTACTGTATATCTACTGTATCGACTAATTTGATTGCATATCTCAGAATGTACCTTTAACAAAGTAATATGCAAAATCTCACACTGTCAAAAATGATATGATCAATAAGTTATGACAACATATGTTTTACATAAGTTAAGCAATTCATAAAAGATTCAATTATTTTTTAAGTAAGTTTAATGTAATTTATGTTGAAATGCAGTCTGCAATTTTTTTACAGTGCAAAATGACTAAATCGCACAATTATCTCAATTGTGATATTTAAATTTACACAGATTTGTCTGATTTATAAAGACAAATTTTTCTTGATTAATAAAGTCACAACTACAAGAAATACATTCAAAATTATGAGATAAAGTCATATTGGGATTTTGCGCATTTGTTTGTAAAAGTCAGTCTCTCAGATATGCAGTCAAATCTCATAATTTTGGTAAAAAAAACTTTATAAATCACAGTGTAAATTTAAATATTGCAATTGTGACTTTGTTTCTCATAATTTGAATTCATATTGCGACATGTGGGCGGCAGTGGCTCAGTGGTTCATGTACAGTAGGTTGTCTACAAACCGAAAGGTTGGTGGTTCAATCCCCGGTTCCACCTGACCAAGTGTCGAGGTGTCCGTGAGCAAGACACCTAACCCAACTGCTCCCGACGAGCTGGATGGCCTTGCATGGCTGACACCGCCGTCGGTGTGTGAATGGGTGAATGTGAGGCAATATGTAAAGTGCTTTGGTGGCCATTAGGTCTATGAAAGCGCTATATAAATGCAGTCCATTTACCATTTACCATGTGACAAACTAATATGCAAAATCTCAAAGTGGCTTTATATCTCACAATTGTGAATTTGTTATTGTGACTTCATAAATCATAAATCATTTCACAAAGTATTTTAACACTACATTCTTATTGATTTGCCTCATGTGTGTTTTAGGATTTTACTTTATTCTATCAACTTACTGTATAGAAACATCAGAAACACAATAGTGCTTCCAGTGATATATGAATCCATGGTTGTGCGTAACAGAATTCAGAGCACAAAGGGATCACAATTAATGTTGCCTGATCCTAAATATGGCACACAAGGCTGCTCCACTTCCAGATTGGGAGACATCCCCGCCAGAGAGTGGATACGGGCTGAGCGGGTCCGCCAGCTTTACCCTCAATATGTCAGTGTTAGTGCTGCGGTCCACTTGTTCCTCTCACCCTCTGTAGTAAATGAACAGACAGAGCCAGTCTAGAATAACGACTCGGGCTGCCACATCAAATCAAAAGATGCCATCTCAATCTGCGAGGGTTGTGAGTGAGACGCAATGAGACGTATCTCAGGCCTCCCTTTTATCAGCAAGGATTTTTAAAGGTTTCTTTAGAGAGAAACTATAGCCTTTGGTTCGCTGTAGGAATGACTCTTGCTTTGATAGGAAGAAACAGTAGAATAAAAAAAATGGTTTGGAAAAACACGATGGTGAGTAAATGATAATAGAATGTGAACTTTTGGGTTGTACCATCCCTTTAAATCAGTCTCCAAACTCATTTCCCCCATTTACGTCGTCATAAAATCAACTGAAGATGTGATAACCATAACAATACATACAATTATACAACAAAGACATTCAACCATACTTAACTTTCAGTGAAATTGCATGATCAGCTAATGTTTACACAATCAGCCAATGGAGGCTGTGTCCACATTTCCCAGCAGCAATGTTTATTTATTTTGTATAAAGAAAGAAAGAAAGAAAATATGCTAAACTAAGTTACTACTCACAGCAGGCCTTTTAAGACACAAAAATGGTGTTATGGCAAGAAATTGGATCTGACAACTCTGTTGAATTCATTATTTCTATAGCATGAGATCTGTCATTCACTGGCTAATTCTCCCCCCCCCCCCCCCCCGTTCATATCAGGATAAAAAAAGAAAAAAAAAAGAAGAAAAACCGTTCTTCTGGTTGTTCCAGGCTCTGTAAGGCTGTGATAATGAGTTGGATGCAATATTTCTGTCCTCTACTGTCTGTAATGACTGCTGTCAGTGAATTAAACTTTACGCTTAACTCATGCCAATACCTATTTGATATATAAGTATACGTTTCCAAATAAGTTTTCTATATCACTGGAAAAAGCGCTTGCTCCTGTTTCTTTTTTTTTTTCTTCCATGAAAGGAAAATTACTAATTTATCTTCACGTCTCCCTTTATTTTGTTAGGAGGAGAAGAAGAAGAAACTTTTTAAACTTTAACTTCTGTATTGGAACGTACTAATAATTCATTTAGAGCTGGATTTTCTGAGTTTCATATAAGAGATGGCAATAAAAAGAAGCCAATATCAACAGCAAACAGTACAGCACATTGCCAGAATGTATTCGTAATGGAAATATTGATAATTACCTGAGATGATTGACGCCAGGCGAAATGCATCTGAATGTCGATGAGGCATCATGGGTTCATAAGGAGATGGCTCATAAAAATCCTCACCTAAAAAAAAAGACATAATTACAGACTATTAAAATAATGTTTAGCCACACACTACAATGCTACACTGCATTTGTATGCTAGATTATATTGTGCTACATTGTTGTCACATGACCTTATTATGTTGTATGTTTATTCCAACGTGTGGCATTCAATTATCATCTGAGAATCCAACTTTGTGTTTGAAAAACGCTGTGAGATAAAATAATAAGCCAAAAAACTAGGATACAATCTCAGCTTATTACTTGCAGTTCATTCATCACACTGGAAATGGGATGTCAAGTAGAGCCTTGAGTAGAGTAAATATGCTCTGTTGTATACTGCACATTTTTGGTTCATGATATCAGATCATCTTTAGTGGTATTACACACTATGCACTTACACTATACTCTGTACTTTGCCATAGAATGTATAATTATTCTGTTGCACTAATTGGGGCAATTACATTATTATTATTATTAATTTTTTGCCACGTAACTATTTGCTACAAGTACATCATCTAGGCACTCGTAGTGCTCCAGGCCTTGCTGTGTATTTAGGGCTATTCCACATTTTGTTTTTGAATCCGTTCTGGCCTTCCAGACCGAGACATTTCTGTCCTAACAAAAGTTTAGCTTTCCCAAGTGGATCAATTTGTTTTTTTGTGGTGTGGACTATGAAAACGGAGGTATTTGAAAACACTGAGGCATGTTTAGATCTGTCATGACAACTCTTGGAGAGATTGACATGGTAATGGATTTGGCAGTGTTAATGTATTTGGTCTAGTGGAATAGATCTGCTACGCTTCTGCTCCTGCATTGCAAGTAACATGACTTGCTACTACCAATACATTCACAGACATTGAATGTTAAAATAACGCTCAACGCTGAGTTTGTGAAGATAGTGCCTCTCAAAATTAAAAATGATCCAGACTTTGCCTGCAGTACTCCCTTCTGAAAGTCTCTCAGGAGCTTTAATATTGAATTCGAAATTCACAATCATTCCATGTAATTCACACACCTGCATACTAGCAGGGGGCACTCGGATTCTCTTCTGTTGGGGATTGCGGATCATTAGAGTATTTAAGCTTTGTCAGTCTCGTTTTATCATACCGCGAGCTTCACTGTCACACAGCAGTTTCTGAGGCGGATGGGCTACACATGCATGTGTGCACATGTAAAGATGTGATGAAAGATGGCATATGTCTTCAGACGGTCCCTAACTCACATTAGATCACTAACATGGAACAGTGCGTATTAAACATCACTCCACCTGCTGACCGAGTGTCAAGGATTCACTCTGCATTTAGACAGACAGATAGAATTGTGTGAATTACCCTAAATGAATAGACCAAAACGTCGGGTACAATTAAATCTGAAAGTTAAATGACTTGATTATACATTTAAAGACATCTGAAAAGGATTGGAAACTTGCACTGCAGATAAACTAGAAATATGAAATATTTAAAGGTCAAATGAAAAGACAATTAAAGTGTAGATTCAAAAATATATCTGTAATTTAAAAAATGTTGTTTCCCAAAAAACGTCAAGTTTTTAGAAATGTTCTAAATTTTTTAATATTTCAAAAAGGAAAAATGTTCATTACACCTCACATTTCTGTATACATATTAATATTTTTTAAGTATTTTAATTTTTTTTAATTATTAAATAGCATTTAAAGTTAATTCTGAAATTAAGAACATGTTCAGCATGGAAGAGGTGCATTCAAGTCATTGTATGTATAAATTACATAAATTGCAACACATTTTTTTTTAAATAAATTACATATATCCTGCGAAAAATACATCATGTCATTGACCCTAAAGCTTAATATACAAGGGTGACTTTTTGTATACATTTATTAGAATAACTGTACACATGAAACTGTATTTGTCTTGAAACTGGGATTGTCTCATGACATTATTTAAAAATGTTATCTGGACAGAAAGTCCAGTTACTTCTAGCCAAATTATAATTGACATAAAAGGTCATAAAAAGTCAACAGAGGATAGGTGTGAATGACTGATGACCTTTTATTATGTGTGCCAGGTACGCTAATAACAATTTTAACATTCTGAGTAAACAACATCCCAAGGGAATAACAAAAAAAAAAAAAATCACAAATGAACTGTTTCCTCTTTACTTAGATGTTTCCCCTGAAAGCAAAAACAACTGATTGTCGAGGTGGTTACATTTGTGTCTATTTCTATTACTACGAGCAGCATCATCAGAGAAAGTTTATTCTTCAATGGAACATCCTGAGCTTTGACAAAGCAGCCAGCTTTTCCTTTAGGACTCATTAGGGACTTTTCCTTTGGGTCTTATTTTTTTCTCTTTGTTGTGACTGAATAGTTATGTTTGAACTTGACAACCCAAAGCACAGTATGAAGCTGTTTTAAATAGCACGTACTAAATGCACAGGACATACGAATTAGCATATGTCCTTTCCCGGGTGACATTTCAATCTGAATAAGAGCTCCATCTCTCAATCGCTCTCCCTTTGCCGTTCCTTCACCTGCAATCATCGCAATGTGAAGTGAACTCTGATGGTCATTTGGAGAGACAGCCTATTACACAAGTCCACAGGGAGTCTGTCTCTGTTTTTTCCCTCGTGTCTTTCTCCCTCTCGCTTTTTCTTGTGTTCTGTCTCTTTGTCTCTGTTATGTGTCTGTCTCTTTTTGTCAGTAAGCCCAGCTCAGGAGTGCCGAGGTGACAGCTGAACAGACAAATGTTGTTTGACGGCTTTCTACTAGAGAACACTCACCGTCTCACCGTTGCATCATGTGAGAGATGCCAAACGGTTTCCACAGCTGCACACAGACAGGGTTGGCAGGATTTTAAAATGCATTCCTATACAGGGTTTGAATTTGTTCTTCAGTACTGGGTTTTACAATGAGTGGACACAAAAGTGTATGGGGAAAATATAGCACTAGTCTCTCAAGTAGACTTGGCTTATACCCACATAATTTTACAAATCCATATTTGGCCTAGTATCAACTGACTTGATACTAGAAGACATAATGTATAATTGTGCTTATAGACGAATCCGGCGAAACTACCGGAAGTAAGCGGGCGCCATTACTGAGCTGTTGCTGGGTAGCGTTGCGCCATTGCCTCCTATTGTTTTAGTTGCAACTTGCGTCCACTGGAATAAACAGCCCGCGATTTACAACTGTCACTAACGTTACAACGTTAGCCCTTGTATAATGTCGAGTGGGTAAACAGTTTCCGTTATAAATTGCTTTAATGGTGGCAGTAAAATTTCAATTTTGAAGAGAAAACATTGTGAATACCCCGGGTCGACTGCCCCTGTCTGGAGCCGTACGGTTTACAAAGATTTCCTGGGCGAGTACAAGACGTGGACATTCGCGTATAATAACAATTATTTAATGACATAAGTAAAAAATATAATAAATATGTGATATAGTGATCAGCAAAATCTCCTCTCTTGCTATTTTTTCTATTCAATTAACATGCTATGGTCATTAAATGGCTTTCCTGAGCTAAATATAACGTTATGTGACAAAATTGTTCTCCCGCTGTTATATTGACCTCTTTCCATGGTTTAAAAACACTAATTGGTCGATATTATGTATACTTTCTAGCTGTAACGTTACCTTACCCTTGCCCGTTGCAATGTGAAAATGAGATAAATAATGGACACAAATGAAAAACATGAATTTGTTTATTTGATTTCATTTATTTATTTATTGTTGCCAAATGGACAGATCTTTTTATAGTTTCCTCGTTAGCAAACGTTAGCCTAGCTTGCTTGCCAAGCTATTTTCATAAATAATCTGTAAGATCGTTTGTACCTTAACCTGTGACTGGAGGCCAAGGTCTAACATCATCAACCCAACAAGTCATTCTGCCTGTCTGTAGCTGTCATCGAGGGTGCGTTCACGTTATCACCGAGGTTTGTTTACATACCGGTGCATATGTCTATGCCGGTGTAACAGCTCAGTAATGGCGTCGCCACAAGATGGCAGCCTACACAGAACGCTCGTCGGATTCGTCTATAGGTACATCAGGGTTCTCAAGTCTCACGCATTGGCCGTGAGACACACGCATTTCGACCGGTTCACACGCTCACACGCCACACTGTGTGTTTCTCACGCTGAAAAGGCAATGCCAACCAAGTTGTCCTGGCTGAAAGCTTTCTAACGTTGTATACGAGGCGCAGGCAAACAAAGTGAAGTTTCCTGCCGCCAGCGCGTATCTCCGCCAGATTGCGTTCGTTACTAGGCAACATATATGCGCGCTGCGTGCACCACTGATCTATACATGACATGTCATTCAGTAGCGCGAACACACGGAAATTGACGGAAAATCCTCGGCCACCGTACGTTCGTTACTAGGTAACCAACAACATCGCGCGAACACATGTGTCGTGATGGAGAAGAAGGTAAGTTGGAAGAAGCTCGTCTAACCTTTTTGGGCTAGAACATTTAATATGTAGCCCATCGTACAAATTATTATTGATGCAGTCAAAAACTCTACAACTACTTTGCAACCAGGCTCAGTTTGGCTATCTTACGTTATCTGAAACTAAGAGAAATGTTAGTGGGTATGGAAAGGAATGAAGATTTACTGATTTTATTTTAAATTATATTATACTGTAATATTAATAGTCTTTCTAGTTACATTAAGGATGTATTACAGCAGATTGCTCTGGGTAAAATTTAATCATTGTCATAATGTTGCATTTGTATTTTTCAAAGATGTCAGGAAAAAAGCAGAAAGATATTTTGTCATTTTGGGCACCAAAGGGTAAGCCCCCTAAAAAGGTTGCCAGATTAGAGGAGGAGACAGTGGAAGAGGTGGTGCACTCTAATCTGTCCATTTGTTCTCAATGTCCCACCACACAATAAATCATTCGTCTAGATAGAAGACGCATTCAAAAATCAAAATGCAATTTTTAAAGATTTGTTTGAAACTGTTTGGAGCAATTTTTTATATTTTTGGTTAGCTATATTTGTAATACTGCATTAAAGAGTATTTGATGTGATGAATTGCTCTGTCATT